AAAACCCCGTCCTACTAGAAAAGTTACAAAAAACTGCCGGGCGTGGCGGCACGGCCTGTAATCCAGCTACTGGAGGCTGAGGCAGGAGAATGGCGTGAACCCGGGCGAGGCGACCTCCTGCGTGGTGGTGCGGCCACTGCACTCCAGGCCTGCATTTGGATGAGCGAGGGAGCGCGGCGCAGATTTCACGTCTCAAAAAAGATAGAAACACAAAAAAAAAAAAAGATAAATGAGAAAAAATAATTCTCGGAGGAAAATCAAAACCCAGAGAAGATACGTTCCGAAAGAAAACCTGGGATCTCGGACAGGTGCATTTCATTGAAAGAGGGAAGATATGAGAGTTCAGATGATAAAGAGTGCAAAGCAGCTGCAATTAATTGTAATATTTTATTTAACCCAGTATACTCAAAATGTTAACATTTCAATATGTGATTAATTTAAAACGTTATTGAAATAATTTATTCTTTTCGTTGTGCTAAATCTTTGAAATCTGGTGCATAGTTTACAGTACAGCACATCTCATCCCAGTGCTCAGTTTTAACAAGCATGAAATTTAGTTCTAACTAAAAAGTTGTGTTTAAGGGGAAAAATATTTTTATATTGCTTCAGTTTTACATTTTACATTTCAATTAATTAAAATTAAATTTGAAAATTCAGTTTCTAGGTCGCACTAAACACATTTCACGTACTCAGTAGCCACATATGACCACTGGCTACCTGTATCGAAGGTACAAAACCCAACGGCTATTTCCTTCCCAGGAAAGGAAGCAACAAGCTATGACAGCAGTGTCCAAGACAGCTCCTGCTGGGTTCCCGCAGCAGGAACTCACCTGCTGCACTCGGTGCACAGTGGGGCAGCAAAGTTAACACGGGTTGGAGAGGCAGGCAAGGGCCAAATCTCAAAGGCCAAAAGAAAGTTCTTGTTTCCTTTTAAGTTAAAAGAGAGACTACTTAGACCGGGCACGGTGGCTCACGCCTGTAACGTAATCCCAGCACTTTGGGAGGCCGAGGCAGGCAGATCCCTTGAGCCCAGGAGTTTGAGACCAACCTGGACAATAAGTGAGACCTGTCTATAAAAAATTGAAAATGAAAATAAAAATAAAATTAGCCAAGCGTGGTGGCGCACACATGTGGTCCCAGTGGTCCCAGCTACTTGGGAGGCTGAAGTGGCAGAATCGCCTGAACCCAGGAACAGTGAGCCGAGATCGCGCCACTGCAGTCCAGCCTGGGTGACAGAGTGAAACTCTGTCTAAAAAACAAAACAAAACAAAAAGTAGGGAGAAGAGGGCCAGGGCCAGCCAAGAGCCAGGTCAGTCTGGATGGGGATGGAGGTGAAGGAATCAGACTGGGGGAGCGGGCGGTGGGCGGTGGGCAATCGGGCGGGGAAACCTCTGGTCCGGGACCTCCCTAGCCCGAGGAGCTCCCAGGCACAGGTGAGGACGCGAGGGGCTGGAGTGGCCGGCTCATAAAGCCCCGGCGTTTCCCACGCAGAAGGAGGCTTCGACGAAGAAAGTGGCGCGGCCCCGGACCCCCCTCTCTGCGCCCTGCGTGGCCACCCGCGACAGCTGCAAGCCGCCTGCACCCGCCTGTTGCGACCCGTGCGCCTCCTGCCAGTGCCGCTTCTTCCGCAGTGCCTGCTCCTGCCGCGTGCTCAGCCTCAACTGCTGAGCGCGCCCTCTCCCGGCCGCGGGCGGGCAGGGCTTTGGGGACGCGGGGCGCTTTTCGGGCGGGTGATCTCTAACAGGGCGGCTTCCCAGGACTGGGGGCGGGCGGAGGTTGCAGGAGGTGGGAGTTCAGGGAGACCTGGCTTGGGCTAAACTCGAAATACAATATATATAGGCTGCTTGAAGGTGTGCGGCTGTTTCTGTAAAGGTCCCGAAAGTTCTCGATGCCTTCGCCACGGAGTCAAGCGGACTGCGCACGCGCTGCTCTCCAGGGGCTCAGGACACCGGGCGTCCCAGCCCCACAGCTGCACTCCCAGTCAACGCTGCTCCCGCCCTGGGGGTTGGGAACGAGGTTACCGCCCCTGCCATTAAACCGGGGAACACCCGAGGCTGCCTCCAAAACCAGGGAATTAAGACCAGCCAGGCAGAAAGGAACCGCCTTTAGGTCTTAACACATTTCCTCCTAGGTGCTCCTCTCTCCCCAGGGGAAGAAACGGAAAGAAAGAAAGAAAGAAAGGCCACGCCTGTAATCCCAGCACTTTGGGAGGCCGAGGCGGGCGGATCACCTGAGGTCTGGAGATCGAGACCATCCTGACCAACATGGGGAAACCCGTCTCTACTAAAAATACAAAATTAGCCGAGTGTAGTGGCGCATGCCTTAAAGCTCAGCTACTCGAGAGGCTGAGGCAGGAGAATCGCTTGAACCCGGGAAGCAGAGGCTGCAGTGACCCAAGATCACGCCATTGCACTCCAGCCTGGGCAACAAGAGCGGAACTCTGTCTAAAAAGAAAGAAAGAAAGCCGAGGCTGGAGGATCACTTGAGGCCAGAAGTTCAAGACCAGCCTGGGCAACATAGTGAGACTCCCTGCCACGCCGCTCGTATGTACAAAAAATTTTAAAAATTAACTGGGTGTGGTGGCATGCGCCAGTAGTCCCACCTACTCAGGCAGCTAAGACAGGAGAATCACATGAGCCCTGGAGTTGGAGACTGCAGTGAGCTATGATCACACCACTGCACTCCAGACTTGGCAACAGAGTGAAACCGTGTGTTTAAGAGAGAGAGAGAGAAAAAAGGAAATAATCATTCCCATTCTTGTTATAAATCCAAGATAGTGAGTGTCCTGTTCCCTCTCTGTTCCTTAACACAAGAAACAAACACACAACACCCCTACACACAGGAAAGCTGCCAGAGGCTTGTTTTGTTTTCTATCATTTAGGCTGCAGTCCTACAGGGCAAGAACCTTTTGTTCCTTGCACCACAGCTGCTGCTGAGTAAATGTCATATTGGGAAGATATTGCAGTCACTCCTCCTGTTTTCCAGACATTGTTCACTAAGCAAGCAGGCACCATTTGGTCCCCAAGGGTGAGGCCAGGATGCAAAGCTAAAGACTCAGTCCCTTAGTAACAAAGCCATTTGGCTGCTGGGTCCAGAAAACCACATAGAAGACCAACCCATTCATTCATTCAGCAAATGTGTATTGGGCACCTACTGTGTGCCAAGTGCTATGGACATAGTGGTGAAGAAGTCCAATATGGATCCTCTCCTTATGGTCCGGTGGCCCACGGCTATTGTCCCTTGTTAGAGGTTAGAACCATTATTAGCATATGTGGTCCATTCCCTCAGACTATCAGTTTTGGTTTTTCTTTAGAGATGGGGTCTTGCTATGTTGCCCAAGCTGGTCTCAAACTCCTGGCCTCAAGCAATCCTCCTGCCTCAACCTCCCAGAGTGCTGGGATTACAGACATGAGCCACTGTGCCCAGCCGGTTTTTGCTTTGTTTGTTTGAGACAGAGTCTCGCTCTGTCACTCAGGTGGGAGTGCAGTGATGCAATCTTGTCTCACTGGAGCCTCCACTTCCCAGGCTCAAGCTATCCTCCAACTTCAGCCTCCCAAGTAGCTGGGACTTCAGGACTCAAGCTGGGACTTCAGAATTCAAGAGATACTCATGTGTGAGTACCTGGGATTACAGGCGTGCACCACCACAACCGGCTAATTTTTATATTTTTAGTAGAGACAGGGTTTTGCCATTCTTGAACTCTTGGCCTCAAGTGATCCACCCATCTCAGCCTCCCAAAGTGCTGGGATTACAGGTATGAGCCACCACGCCCCACCTCCTTCTCCTTTTCAGAATTCCTCCTCAAGCCTAAAGTGCTAAGAGCATGGTCCTGGGCCTCTCAAAACTCTGCTGGTCTAATGACCAGAATTGAAACTCACATTTGTGACTCAGAGTTACGGTTTGACTGTTAGGAGCATCTGGGACCGCCATCTCCAACACCATTATTCATTCTATTTCTGTCTCACACACACGGGGTGAACTTAACCTAGGAAGATTTACCCTACCTTTGTGGCCATTGATTGAGGATCATTTCTTCCTGAAGGACGTAGCCTTAAACTTGTGCCCAAAGTTCTCATAGTGTGGCCTTGAACAAGTCTTTTTTTTTTTTTTTTTTTTTGAGACAGAGTCTTGCTCTGTCACCCAGGCTGTAGTGTAGTGGCGCAATCTGGGTTCACCACAGCCTCTGCCTCCCAGGTTCAAGTGATTCTCCTGCCTCAGCCTCCCGAGTAGCTGGGATTACAGGCATGTGCCACCACACCGGTTAATTTTTGTATTTTTAGTAGAGACAGGGTTTCACTATGTTGGCCAGGCTGGTCTCAAAATCCTGACCTCAAATGATCTGCCCACCTCAGCTTCCCAAAGTTCTGGGATTACAGGATATGAGCCACGAGCCACCACACCCAGCCTGAACAAGTCACTTTTGATGCTACCATTTCCACGTTTACAAAGTGAGAAGTAAATCAGTCAGAGTATTTTAGGTGCAAGCAACAGAAACAACTCTAGCTAGCCTGAGAGGAAAAAAAGGTAAAGGGTTAGTCTCCTGGAGAGATTTGGGGACCTCAAAAGAAAGATTACACAACATGCCTCTAAAAAAAAAAAAAAAGCCCCTGAGGGGTGCTAGAGGAGCCAAGTGGACAATGTCTTGCAAGCACGGCAACAGGGATGTCAGCTCCAACCTCTTCAGTCCTTGCACTAGACCATTCAAAATAATTCCCAGGAGAGGGTGATTCACCTGATGTGGGGCCAAGAAAGGGTGGTCCACCTTGACTGACAGTCCCATTGTTCAGGAAAAAATTCTCAAACCATGTTTTCCTCTGCTTTCACACCACCACAACAGTCATCAACACCCAACAGACTTGTGTGACCCTAAAATATGAGGGGATTTACCCCCACCAGCAAGCAAACAATCAGTTCTGCAGTGGACACCAGCTGGGTGTCCTCCAATTCAATTCCAACACTATCTACTTGGAGATGGCATCAGATCCCACAGTCTGAGGGCTCAGTCCCCAAGACTTCCCTCATTTCAGACACCAGTCAAAAGTCTGAGCCTCTAGAACTTCTGACAACTGGCTTTAAGTTGGGGTTTCCATAACCCTCTTTGGGCTCAACTAATTTGCTGGAGGGGCTCACAGAATGCAGGGAAGCAAGGCCAGGTGCAGTGGCTCACACCTGTAACCCCAGTACTTTGGGAAGCCAAGGTGGGAGGATCGCTTAAGCCCAGGAGTTCAAGACTAGCTTGGTCAACAGTGAGACCCCATCTTTATAAAAAATAAAATTAGCCAGGCATGGTGGCACAAGCCTCTAGTCCCAGCTACTCAAGAGGCTGAGGCAGGAGGATCACTTGAACCTGCGAGGTCAAGGCTGCAGTGAGTCATGATCATACCACTGCATTCCAGGCTGTGTCTCAAAAAATAAAAAACCAAAAAGAATTCAGGGAAACACACCGGTTTATTATAAAGGCTATTACAAAGGCTGCAGATGAAGAGATGCATAGGGTGAGGTATGGGAAGGGGTGCAGAGCTTCTGTGTCCTCCCTGGGCCTGCCACCTTCTAGGAACCCCAGCATGTCTGGCTATCAGGAAGCTCTCTGAAGCCTGTCCTCTTGGGTTTTTAATGGAGGCTTCATTACGTAGGCATGATTGATTAAACCACTGGCCATTGGTGATCAACTTGACCTTCAGCCCCTCTGTCCTCCCCAGAGGTTGGGGGATGGGGATGAAAGTCCCAACCCCTAATCATGCATTTGCCCTTGTGGTGACCCTTTCTTTTTTGGAGGCACGTTGTATAATCTTTACTTTGAGGTCCCCAAATCTCTCCAGGAGACTAACCCTCTACCTTTTTTTTCTCTCAGGCTAGCTAGAGTTGTTTCTGTTGCTTGCACCTAAAATACTCTGACTGATTTACTTCTCACTTTGTAAACGTGGAAATGGTAGCATCAAAAGTGACTTGTTCAGGCTGGGTGTGGTGGCTCATAGCCTGTAATCCCAGAACAGTGATCTAATGATCCACCCGCCTCGGCTTCCCAAAATGCTGGGATAGCAGGCATGAGCCACCACAGCCCAGCCCCTCCATCTTTTTGAGCAACCACAGATCTTAGCATCACCACCCATTGTTGAGAAATTACCCCCAGTCATACAATAGGAACTTTAGAAAGAAATTTAACTCCAAGGGCCACTTCCCATTTGTGAAGTGAACAGAATAGGCAAGAAAAGAATGTACTTTGAACTGAATTAGCCAAACCATCTGTAGTCAATTTAAGATGAGTCTAGATCTTTCTTCTTCCATGTACCAAGAGTAGAGGGTGTGTGTGTTGGGAGGGAGGATTGGATTCAGGAAGGAGGAAAAGGAATGACTTTTGTTTAATCAGTAATCCTTTAAAATTGCCAAATGCTTTCTGGTTCACTACAGAAATGAGGTTTCTATTAATCGATTGCCTGCAGAGAAACAGTAGCTCTCCCAGCTGGATGTATGAGTTGTAGAGTCTGGGAGATGGCACCTTCTAATGGTAAGAATGATGATGCTGACAATTATTATGCCTTCTTGTTGCCCAGGGAGCCCAGCAAATAGCTTCGTTGGAGTCCAGAGGCTTTTCACACTTTCCAGAGCTCCTCTTTGGAATTTGTGGACTCTTTGGCTGTATAGGCTACCAGAGCAATAGTAAATATTGGGCTGCTGCTCACGGCTCGAGGCCTGTGTGGTCTGCAGTTATCATCATGCCATACTAACAGTGATTATTTATGGAGCAGCTACTTCATGCCAGGCATGACACCAAGACTACCATATTAACATCTTGACCTAAGTATCACTGTAAATAAGAGAACTGGGGTTCAAAGAGGTTAAGAAAT